TTAGCTCATTTCAGCAACATTTCAGCACGTTTTTAGCTCATTTCAGCCGTTTCTCAGCATGTTTTTAGCTCATTTCAGCAACATTTCAGCATGTTTTTAGCTCATTTCAGCTGTTTTTCAGCAAGGTCTTCTGATAGAAGCGTTCCCCTGCATTAATGCAGGAAATGCAGTTTCTCTAGTTTATGCATTTAAATTATTCGTGGTGGATTTTCCAGCAGAACGTTAAAATAACCTCAATAATTGAAGGTAAAGTTGGAAGGTTTAGGTGTTGCTGAATCAATCTTCACTCCTCCTCTTCCTCCTCAGAGCCTGCGTTACTCTGGGCGTCATTTTCGTCCTGTCCTCCCTGTGCATCATGGGAAAGGCCGTCCATGACCTGGCCACCGAGCTGCTGCCCCAAGTGGTGAGAAGTTATCACATAAAACAACACGAATGTCCTCCAGCTCTGGTGTTTTGTGTCCAAGTTCATTTGAATCCACTTCATCTGAACGATATCGACTGTCGGAGCAGATGGAGGCGGGACTCCCCCGCACCTCTGGCCCTGGAACTTCTCTGAATTTGTTCTTGGAAGAAACGTCTCGTCCGACACACTCGGTCAGTCTGAGGCTGCCACGACACGTGTCGTACAAACAGCCCTCACTGACGTGTTCAAACTAACCAGCTGTGGAGTTCTCTCTACACTTCTGTCCAGATGACACGGTTTTTAAACTTTACACATCTGTCCAGATGACACGGTTTTTAAACTTTACACATCTGTCCAGATGACACGGTTTTTAAACTTTACACATCTGTCCGGATGACACGGTTTTTAAACTTTACACATCTGTCCGGATGACACTGGTTTTTAAACTTTACACATCTGTCCGGATGACACGGTTTTTAAACTTTACACATCTGCCTGGATGATGGATCGTACAAACCTGTTTTTAATTTCATACGACATGGAGCAGGGCGAGTAGTTCCGATCTCAAGACTTTTTCTTAACCACCTTCGTAGCTTTTTGTTCATCGCTTGTTGCAACAAATCGGAGCGTAGCCGTGAATATTAGACGTCGCGCCGTAGCAGAATAAGGAAGAAGCTTGAGAAGTTCCTGAAGGTTTGGACTCGATGAGAAGTTCCTGAAGGTT